ACAGAAGTAAGCTTGGTGACAGGGGCAAAAGTGGCACCAAAATCCTTGCCAAGAATTTGTGTGAAACTTTTGGCCACTAGGCGGGCTTTGTAACTGTCAACTAAGCCATCAGCGAGGTACTTTATAGTGAACATTCATTTGCAACCAACTCTGCTTTGCCCAGGAAGTAAAGGTATAAGATTCCAAGTGTGATTCTATTCTAAGGCCGCCATCTCAGTCTGCATAGCCGCTACCCATTTGGGATTCTGAAAGGCCTCAGATACAAAACAAGAAATGGACTCCGACTCAAGCTTGCCAAGAAAAGAATGGTAAGAAGGGGAAACCCTGTCATAGGCAAGATATTGGGAAATAGGATGATAAGTACTACTCAAATAACTGAAATGATTTGGAGGATGTCATTCCCGATGTGGGTTACAACGAGGAGGTGGAAGAGAAGTTAAAGGAGAAGAGTTACTTGACCCAGAGATCGGAGAAGCGGTAGTGGGGGCTGAGTGCGTGGGTGATGGGAGTATACTCGCAATGGAGGAGGAGGCAAAGGTTGAGAAGAAGGAAAGGGGACAGCCTCATTCTTAACCTCGTCCAAAATGGTCACCAGGCGAACAGTGGAAGTAACAGGAGGAGAAGCCAAGAAACAGGGTCAACACCTATACCCTTTAGACATGGAAGAGTTTCCTAAGAAGATACAATGAATAGATTTGTCATCTAACTTTGTGCGAGTGGGACTATCCGAGTTTGAACAAAACAAGTACATCTAAGGACACGAGGTAAGGGTGGAAACAGAGTAGTGGTGGGCATAAGGGTATGAAACGGAGCGAGTCTATGCAACACATGGCTAGGGGTCCTATTAATGAGGTAAACAACAATAAGAACTACCATATGCCAATAAGACCTCGGAACACTCATACCTTGAAGAAGACACCGGATAACAAACATAATATAACGGTTTTTGCGTTCAGCAACACCATTTTGTTCAGGGGTCCGAGGACAAGTTGAAGAATGTTGGTTTGATTAAGATGGGAACAAAATGCATTAGAAATATATTTCCCACCATTATCAAAATGGATAATCCTAACAACTGCATGAAACTGAGTTTTAACAATCTGTAAAAATTGGACAAAAATGGAAAAGATGTCAGACTTAGGACGAATTAGATAAACCCAAGTGTACTTAGTATGATCATCAATAAAAGTCACATAATATCTATGACCAGAAAAAGTAGTGACAAGGAAAGGGCTCCAGATATCAAAATGTATAAGATTAAAAGCACTAGGAGCATGAGTCATATGAGGGATATAGCTAGTACGAGTATGGTTAGATAACTCACAAACCACACAATGAAACTTAGAATCTTTGCAAGTTTTATTAAATGAAGGAAAAAGTTGACATAAATATTGAAAATTAACATGACCCATTTGAGCGTGCCATAATACTAAAGTTTGAATATTAAAAACACAAGACATGGAAGCAGGCAAATAGAGGCCTGAAAACTAGTTAAGGAAGAAGAGGAAGGCTCGTCCGGTGGATCCCCAAAGTAGTATAGCCCATCACGCTCATTAGCCCTTGCCAAAAATCCTCTTTGAACTCAGGTCTTGTAAAAGGCAAGAGAAGGGTAAGAAGACGACAACACAATTAAATTGTTTGGGAAGTTGACTAATAGATAAGAGATTATATGACAAATTTGGAACATGTAAAACAGATGATAAAGTAATGGTTGGTGATAAAGACACTACACCCTTATGACGAACATAGGATAACAAACCATCAGCAAGACACATAGATTGGGCAATAGTAGTAGGGACTGGCGACGAAAGTAAGGAAAACTCACCCGCCATGTGATCATTAGCCCCAGAATCTAGAACCTATGAGGGACTAGCAAATCGAACATGGAAAGCAGTAGAAGTACCTGTTGCAAGGGTGGTAACAATGGTAGATGATGGGCCAGGAGAATTGGCAGTAAGAGATCCAAGCTTAGCCTGAAGCTGACCAATCTGAGTTTGTAACTCTTGTAAATTAGGGAGATAAGGAGACCCAAGAGCATGAGTAGCAGAATCCACTAGAGCCGTAGTGCTATGGGTGCTAGCACCACAGGGGTGAGAGGAACGTTGCCTCAACTCAGGATGAAGTTTGAAGCAAAGAGCCTTAACATGACCAGAAATGCCACAATGATGACAAGTAATTGGACCAGTAGAACCCTGAGTACCAGACTTTGCAGCAAGAGCCATCTGATTAGATGAAACTAGAGATAAAGGAGAAGGATTTGATTGAACCAAACGCCTATGATGCTCCTCACTATCAATGGTGGCAAAGGACTTGTAGAGAGAGGGCATAAGTGATGTATTTAAAATCCGAGTGATGTGTTTAAAATCCGAGTTCGAAGGGATTCAAACTCAGAGGTTAAACCCATTAGAAATTGGTAAGTATGCTGGCAAGCAAGGCGTTTGGACATAAGAGAGGCAGCATTTGCTGGTAACTCAATCAAGGGCTCATATTGAGCCAATTCTTCCCAACGGACCTGAAGGTATCCAAAGAATTTTGACATTGAAAGACCCAAGGCAAATTGGGAAGCACGAGCAATATCCTGATAGAGCTCAAAGATGCGAGCATCGTTATGAGCATGAACATACATTTGTGACAAGGCATGCTATAGATTGGAAATTGTGTTGCAGTAGAGAAACATGTGATAAATACGATCTTTCATGGAGTTGAACATCCGTCCCAAAATAGTACAGTTATCAATATCCCACTGTGCACGGGTAGGATTTGTTGCAGCAGGTTGGGTGTTGGAAGATAAAAGCCAATGAGCTTTTCCCTTGCCCCCTAAAAAGAGTTTAAGGGAGCAACTCTAAGTGGCAAAATTTTCCCCATTCAACACAACACTCATAATACGATGAACAGGAGTGATGAGAAAGAGAAAAATTAGAACTAATTGGAACATGCTTGGTAGGTATATCAGCAAAGGATGGATTAGTCTTGCTGTAAGAAGAGGGGCTGAAAAACACACAAAGATAGCAATGCAATCCAAGAAAAAATAAGAAGTCGAAAAAAACTCAATGGCTTATCTAAATAGATGCTACTGAATAAACTCGGTAGCCCAAAAGAATAAAAGGACAGACAAAGGGGTTTAATACATCAGTCCAATCACCCCAAGAAGGGGAAAAAAACAGACCACTTAAAGAGGCAGCCGAAGCACGTAAGACCAGAACCAAGTCTAGTCGGTAGCAACCAGGGCCTCGGCAAGGATAAAGAAGGCCTACCGAGGTGAAGACAAGGAAGGAGAGGGGTTGCGAAGGTTGGGTTGAGGTTGGGCTGAGACTGTCAGAGGGAGAAAAGGAGTTGGAAAGGGTTGTTGAAGGCTAGAGAGAAGAAAAAAGGCAGTCGGGGGTGATGGGTAGTTGAGAGAGAGACAGCTAGGGAGGCTGTAATACCAAAAAAAATGAAAAAAATTATTTGGCTTACCAATCAATAAGGTGGAGGCCATGTATATATAACATATTTATGATACAATTTAGGAAACAATATATACAAGGTAAGATTCTTATAATCAAAATAATTTCTATTCTAATTTTCATATTCAAACATAATACTTTGATTTCTATATTCAACTGGGTTTTCATTCCTAGATGAACCCTGGTAGCTTCTTATGGTTGTGAAAAAATGCTCTCTTCCAACATTGTTAGAATACACCGGATGGCACCAAACCAACAAATAGTATGGAACAAACCAGCAATATAATGCAACAAAAAATAGAAACAAGCAATAAGGATAACCTGCCGAAGTGTAGAAAACCAAAAAAAGGAGAAGAACAGGCCACAACCATAGTGCTGAACCACAAAAGCTTATTGCAGAAAACAAAAGGGACTGTTACCCAATCAAGGTTAGCAAAGACTTCATCAAGCACTGGTGTACAGAAAAAATTGTGAAAAACACCGAGGAGGGGTTGCCAGGATGGAAAAAGTGGCTAAAAACACTTTTAGATCCTCAAAATGCAGCAATCAACTCTCAAACACCTTGGGTAATACATCCATTTGACTGACCTTCAATGAGTGAAAAAATCAGACAGATTGCTCTAATTGGACCGGAAACACCAGATCTTAAAAACAGGGACTATTTTCCAAAAAATAAAGAAAAAATGAAAAACCATATGAAGAAGGCAATGATTAAAAAAGGACAAATAATAATCAGTTGATCATCAAGTTCCCTAAGTTGATCATGGAGAGCCCAATTATTATTATGTTCAAGTCCAAAAATGAACTATATGCTCTAATAGACTAATACCATGATGAATAATATGAAGAAGTAGAAGAAGAACAAGAGAGAGAAGTAGAGAGGCGCATCATACGTATGTGGAGAGAATAAAAACTAGTGTACTCTCCTCTAACCCTTTGCATATATATGATTTCCAGATTACAAAAATACCCTTCGGACTAAATATATGAAATAACAATGCAAAATTGTTGCTAGGACACTCTCAAGAAGAATTCTTATTCAAATTATGATTCCTACGAAATTGGCTTGAGGATTGTGCTTGGCACATGGAGAGCTAAGCAATATGCGTTTGAATAATGAATGAGTTCTCACCTCAGGCATGGGCATTTGTTAGATCACCACATTGAGCTGGACAATCTATGTATATTATTTTCAAATGAAGATGCATAGTATTTCCATACTAACTTATAATATTTATAAACCAGATAGGTAGTAATTTTTTTCTGTGTGTAGTGTAGTCGCATATATTTACATGTATACAGCATAGGTAATCAATCAGATACATGAATCATCTTAGTCTTCATAAAATATTAGTAGCCAAATGAACATTTAGAAATCGACAAACAATTAATGAGACAAGTTGACATGTTGCCAAGTTTTTCCTTAAACATTTGGTAATGTAATAATCATTTGCATTTAGTTGGTAATATGAATATATCAAAGTAGGCTAGTGGCTGGCTCTATTCAATGTCTAGTTTCAAAATTGATGAAAGTTTATTCACTATCTCATGCAGTATGACTTCCCAAAGCAGGAGGCTGTAATTCAGTTCGTTGTTGAGGCCATCCAAGCTGAAGCTTTCAACCCAAAAACTCTTTTCTTGATTGGCAGCTACACGATTGGTAGAGTCTACCACTCTTTCTCTCTCCCTCCTTTCAAACCCAGTATCAATGTGATGAATTTTTTTTTGTCATTGTTTAGTTATTTTATTATTTCAAGTTTTTTGTATATTTTCATAGTAGAAAGGAAAGAACAATTTCTCCAAATTTTCTTCATATCCCGTCTTTTCAATTAACAATATTTGTTCTTATGGTATACTAGTATAGCTTCAGATTTTAGAAATTTGCATTGCAAAGTTTAGCACAGCTCTCCCTCTCCCTGTACCCTAAGACAGTTTTTTCTCTAACAGGAAAAGAAAGACTGTTTTTAGAGGTGGCTCGTGTCCTCCGCAAGAAAGTCTATGTCACTGCAGCTAAGCTGCGCCTTTTGGAATGCTTGGGGCTTTCTATGGAAGATATGCAGTGGTTCACGTTGAATGAACGGGAGAGCCACATTCATGTTGTGCCAATGTGGACACTTGCAAGCATCAAACGATTGAAATGTATATCTAATCAATATGCGGTAAGGGTGCACATTACTACATTATTTCATATAATTAGTTTTTACGAGGTGGAGGTTTCATACCACATTGGCTTAGACTTTTATAAACTCTAAAACTGGAATTATTTTGTGGAAGTCCATTACCTTGTATGCAAAATGAATAGGTAGGTAAATTTACGAGGTAAATTGGATAAAGAGAAATGTTGTGTAAGGGTGTAGGCCTTTTGAGTTTCAAATTTTAAATATTTGAAAATATATAAAACATGTAAGAAATTAGTGAATACCGAAAAAAAATATTATACAAATAAACAAGGAAAAGATGCATCACTATTCATGAATTTACTCAAAAAAGAAAAAGAAAAAGGGAGGGAGGGAGGGGGGGCGGGCTAATCGTCTATAGTCATAGATAATTTAGACCACAATCAAGTATTCGCTATGTAGAAATATTTAAAACAAAATATTCATTGCATAAAACTGATTCATGCACAAATCTCACCCTATGGATTAAGGCGTGATTGGCCAATAGCCACGTGCTACCAAGGCCTAACTATACCAAGTGAAGGTGCCTTTGAAAACATATGTAATTTATTTAATACTGTTAGAATAGTTATATGTTCTTATGTAATTATTTAGTTAAGTTGAGGGTACTCTGGTCATTTTGTAATGTCAGGTTTTATATAAATATATTTGCTGGTGTAGAGTAATTCAATAACTCTAAACCATATATTATTATCAGTCACTTTCCATTATACATTCTAACTTGGTATCAGAGCAATCTATTCTCCATCAGATATTGTTCAACAAATTCTAGGCATTGATCTGAGGTGACCAAGGCATGCTAATGTCATCATCCATACGATGACGTCAGTGTGACGTCAGCACTGTACGGACGAGTTTTTCACCCTAGGTTCAAAATTGCCTCCTGATGATGATGGTATTTTTTGTGGATTTTTTTGATCAATCCTTATGGGTGCTTTCTATTTTTGAATGATTTTCGAGTTTTTTGGTGTCCCTCTTTGAATCTGCGATATGCCTTGTCTCTGGTTGTTTCTACCTATTGAAATCTACTCTATAGGGGCTGAAACTCACCTGTCTATGGTTATTGGACCTTAGTTTGTTCATTTGTTGCTATTGGGTTGGTTTTTTTTATCCCTATTGTAGTTTGATAGCCTTGTTTGTGTCTCACCCACCTTTGTTTTTCAGGGGTCATTGGTTTTGAGCTCTGTTTGTTGCCTTTCTTGGTTGTTTGTGGGTGATGGTAATTTACTTCTTGTTGTTGGTTCATATTCCTTTTATTGTTGACTTGCGGGATTGCTATGGCTGAGCTTGAGGCTAAGGCAACACCACGTATGGCTATGAGTAAGGATGATGAGATGCGTAAATCTATTACTACCAAAAAATTGAATGGTGCAAATTATATAGCTTGGGCTCATGCAGTTAAAAGTTTTCTTATGTGGCAAGAAGAAACCACGTTATCTTACTGAACTACCTCTTGCTACTGATCATCCTACTTATGATGGTTGGTGTAGTGAGGATTTATGTGTTATGGGGTGGATATGGCATAGCTTAGACCCTTGTGTTGCTTCTACTGTGGAATTTCGTGACACTGCTAAGCAAATTTGGGACTCCCATACTGAATCGTTTTTGAATCAGAGTAACGTCTCTCGGGTCTATGAGCTATATGAACAGATTTTTGCTAGTCGCCAATCTGGCCGGTCTCTTTCCGATTATTATAGTGGTCTTAAGAACTTGTGGGATCAATTATTACAACACGGACACTTATTGATTTGGCCACACAGAAGCAACATTGGGAAGAGTTTATGATAGCCTCTTTACTCTCCGGCTTAGATTTTGATTTACGAGGGTTCAAAAATCAAATTCTCGCCAGTGAGGCTCTACCTTTTGCTACTAATGCTTATTCTCAGCTGTTGCGTTCTTCACTGGGACAGACTCAACTCATCTTTGGGTCCTTTTCCTTGTCCTCTTCTGCATTGATCTCTAGCCGTGGTGATCGCGGGCCTAGTCGAGGGAGTTTACATGGACCCTCTGGTCAACGGGGCTCTTATTCTGGCTCACAAGGTACTCATGGTGGTGGTTGTAGTGGACTTAGGCCTCGTTTGGCAAGAGGCTATTTTAGCCAATTAGCCAAAAAGTTACTAAATTAGCCAAAAAGCCAACAACCCATACCAAAAAGTCAAAGATTCTCTTTTCTCTCTACTTTTTGCACATCTTTTCGTAATTAGCCAAAAAGTCATCTCAAACATACAAGTTTTTTTTACCTACCTTTTTAGCCAAATAGCCAAAAAGTTACTAAATTAGCCTGTTCCCAAACGAGGCCTTAGTTCTAGTTTTCATGGTGATCGCACGAGTACTCATTGTGGTTCCCTAGGCCATATTGAATCTTGGTGTTGGTAGAATAATGGCAAACCTGACCATGTGCATCGGGTTATGGATGCTCCGTCCTCGGTTTCCACTGGCCCTGTTGCTCTTCCAGTTGATTCTCATGAGGCACTCACTACTCAGATTAGCGAGCTTACTGCCCTTGTCCAGTCTCTTCGGCATGGTCTACTTTCATCCTCTACAGCTATTATGGCTAGTTTAGGTAATATTGCATATGTGGCTTAGTCCACCCAACCTTAGCTCATAGACTCTGGCGCTAGTTCTCATATCTCTAGTAATTCTTTTCTTTTTGATACTCTTAGGCCTGTTACTCATGATATTGTACTTGCTGATGGATCTTCTCGACCTGTCAGTGGTCAAGGCCCTCTTCATCCAACTCCATCCCTCTCCTTACCCTCTAGTCTTTATGTTCTTAAGGTTCCATTTAATTTGCTTTCTGTTAGTCAATTGACTCAAGCTCTCCACTGTTCCATAACCTTTTCTCCTACTTCATGTGTTTTGCAGGACCTCCAGACCAAGAGGATGATTGGTTCGAGGCATGAGAAGGATGACTTGTACTTTTTGGACACTGAAAGCTCTCTTCGTCCTCTGTCTACTGTGTTGAGTGCTGTAGTGTCTCCCCTACAGTGGCATTTTCGCTTGGGTCATCCCTTAATTTGGAAAGCATTTGAGTCGTTTGATCTTATCCATACAGATATCTAGGGTCCTTGAACTCCTACTGTTAATGGTAAATTTTTATTTTGTTATTTTTGTGAATGATTATTCTAGAATGACTTGGTTGTTTTTAATCAAACAGAGGTCTAATTTGCCTTCCATCATTTCTAAGTTTGATAATGAAATCTTTATTGAATTTGGGAAACGTATTAAAATCTTTCGATCTGATAATGTCTTAGAATATATGTAGTCTATTGTGACTACCTTTTGTGATACTCGTGGTATTATTCATCAGACTAGTTGTTCTCATACATTCCCCCTAAAATAGTGTTGCGGAGCGAAAACGCTGCCATTTGCTAGATGTGACTCGCACATTGATGTTTAACATGCACGTTCCCAATCAGTTTTGGGGTGATGTTGTGCTCACCGCTGGCTTGCTTGCTTGCTTGCTTATTAACCGCATGCCATCAATTATGTTACACAACCAGTCTCTCCACTCTCAATTATACCTAACATCATCTCCGTTTCTCTTGTTTCCTCGTGTTTTTGGTTGTGTGGCCTTTGTCCATGTTCTTGACTCAGGTTTGGATAAGTTATCTCCTCATGCTTGCAAATGTGTGTTCTTAGGCTATTCTCGTACTTGGAAAGGTTGTCGGTGTTATCATCTTGAGTCTTGTAGGTACTTTGTCAGTACTGATGTTACCTTTTTTGAGGCTACTCCTTTTTTTCTTTGTCTGTACAGATGTTATCCATTGATCTTCTCTCTTGTTGTGAGGAGGAGCCAACATCTCCCCCATCTACTCTTCCGGCAGCTTGTGTCCCTTCACCCTCTCTCTCACCTCCCACTAGTATAGATCCTTACCCCAGTTTAGATCTTGCTCTGTTACCTCCCTCTCCTCTGTAGGTTTATCAGCGGTCCCAAGCTTGTTGCATTGTTTCTTAGGGCCAGGCCCGTTCTTCTCTTTTGTCTAAGGCTCATGCATCTCCTGTTCCCTCTGCTGATGTGGCCTCTAATGAGCTTCCTATTGCTGTTCGCAAAGGTAAACGTATTTGCACTCAACATCCTATTGCTCATTTTGTTTTGTATGATTGTTTATCTCCTAGATTTCACTCCTTTGCTTGTAGCCTGTCTAGTATTTCCATTCCCCATTCTTATCAACAGGCTATGTCCATATCGGGTTGGAAGCATGCTATATCCATATCTCCCCATTCTTACCTAGAGACTTTCTCCCTTGTGGCTCGCCTTAACTCTGTTCGGATTCTCCTCTCGGTTGTTGTTGATCATTCGTGGCCTTTATATGAACTTGATATCAAGAATGTATTTCTTCATGGCGATCTCCAAGAGAAGATCTATATGGCTCAACCTCTTGGATATGTTGTTCCCGGTCGTGAGAATCTCGTTTGTCAGTTACAGAAGGCCTTGTATGGTCTCAAGCAGTTCCCTTGTACTTGGTTTGATCGGTTCAGTGCTATTGTGCTTGCCTATGGCTTCTGCCGTTCTGCTTCTGATCACTTTATTTTTGTTCGCCACTCATCTATTGGGAGTATCATTCTTATTGTCTATGTGGATGACATTATCATTTCTGGCAGTGACTCTCTTGATATTGCTGATTTAAAGTGGTATTTGGGTCAGCAATTTCACACCAAGGACTTGGGCCATCTTTGGTATTTTCTTGGGATTGAGGTTGCTCAATCCTCTCAGGGCTTGTTTCTCTCACAACGAAAGTATGTCCTTGATCTTTTCACTGAAATTGGTTTTTTAGGCACTCGTCCTGGTGATACTCCCATAGACTCAACTTGGTGGTGAAACCGAGGCCTTGTTTTCTGATCTTGGTCATTATCGTCGATTGGTTGGGAAGTTGATATATTGTCACTCGTACGGATATTGCTTATGTTGTGGGTGTGGTCAGTCAGTTTATGCATGTTCCTCACCAACCTCATTTTGATGTTGTGTGTTGTATCTTGCAATACTTGAAGAGCGCCCCAGGTCGGGGTTTGCTCTATCATTCATCTTCCTCGTTATTTGTCACTGTCTTCAGTGATGCTAATTGGGCTGGCAGTAGGATTGATAGACGTTTTATCTCTTCTACATGATTTTGGTATTTCTGTTCCCACTCCTATGAGTATGTGTTGTGATAATTAGGCTGCCATATTCATTGCTAATAATCCTGTCTTTCATGAGCGTACCAAACATATCGAGATTGATTGTCATTTCATTCGAGATGTCTTACTACGCAAACAACTTGTGAGTCCTTACGTTCGTTCTGAAGATCAGTTGGGTGATATCACCTTTGGCTCAGACTTCTTTTCATCACTTATCTTTTAAGCTGGGCATGTTTGATCTTTATGCTCCCGCTTGAGAGGGAGTGTTAGAATAGTTATATGTTCTTATGTTATTATTTATTTAAGTTGAGGGTACACTGGTCATTTTGTAATGTCAGGTTTTATATAAATATATTTGCTGGTGTAAAGTAATTCAATAACTCTAAACTATATATTATTATCAGTCTCTTTCTCTCTTCTCTCTTCTCTCTTTCTTCCTCTCAAACCATAACCCTAAATTTCTCCATTATACATTCTAACTAATACTTTGCTTTTGTTTAGCATAAGCTCACTAATATAAAACCTGTATAATCCCAGTGATATAATAAACCCATTAGAGCTAGTGCCTAACTCATATACAATGAACTATCATTCATTACATTTACATTGCCAACTCATAGCACAACCACAAAATATAAATCTTTAAATAAGAAATGCAAATATATACTATGCTTCAAAACAAAACAAAGCTCCAAGCCAAGTGCCAGAGCAGATAAGCTTTCACACAATATGTACACAGCCAAAACGGTAAGCCCACTCTTCATGGCCATCACTAATATACATATAAGGGGAATAGGGCTAAATTGAATCTATATCCTGAAACAGAGAGCTTAATCAATAAGTTGGATCATAGATCTGATTTATGTCAGAACATATAGTAGTCATTTGCTGATCACCGTGGTAATGGCCGTCGGAATGGAACTAAAAAGAGGAATAACCGGGTTGACAAATGGTTAAACAATAACCCACAGTTTAGTGGCAGACAAGATCTCAAATTTGTATGTAAGAGACCGAAGAGATGACTCAGACTCTAGAGGGGCACCCACTTATTTTACAAAATATTGAAAATAAAAATTACACCAATTAGGCCCTTAATAATCAGAACCTAAAAATGGAATATTGAAATCAATAGAGGTTCTGGTTATAAATATGGAAAATGTAAGGCAAGGGATCAAATATGGGGCACCAGAAATTTGAATCTTATGACATGAACTCAAAGAGCACAACCCGAAGGCAATGTCAAAATTAGATATTAAAAAAATTGTTGGGGTGGGATGGGCAGCTCGTTGAATTAGGGGTGTCAAGGTTTGTGTTCTCATGGAAAATCAGTGGAATTCTACAACTTTTTTTGGGACCTGGCCTGCCTAATGTCCACCTGTTTTAATATATATTCCTTATTACTAATGTCATTATTATGATGTTACTTTTTATTTGTTGAGTTTTCATCCTGTTGGTCGTGATGTTCTTTCTGCTTATTTTTCTTCAGTAAGCATGCTTCTGTTAATTAGTTTCCCTGGAAGAAACAAAGAACTTGTCTTCTTGTTATCATGGCATGGCTAGTTACAACTTAACAATATATGATCTAGTGATCTATACAATGTATATGTAGAATGTGCTTTGGGTGCTGCCTAAGCACTTAAGTAAGCCAAAGGATTAACAACATTTTGAATTGCATGAGAAAGACTCACTTTTTTCCTACCAACCTCAGTTTTTTGTTTTGGGTTTTCCTTTTTTTATTTTATTTTATACTGCACTAATATTATGCTTGATCTTGTATCAGCACCAATACAGTCTCATAGTTGCTTTCACTCCTTCTGGTTGGACATTTGGTAAAGGAAAGAAGTCTTCAGGAAGAAGATGGCAGCAGGGTACAATTGTAAGGTGATAATTTAGTTGAACGTTGGAAAATTATAATAACTATCTAAGTTTCTTTCCAAACCCTCATCTTTGGCAAAATTATATGAAAGAAATCACTGAGGGTGGCTTTGAATAAGATTATAGGAACAAATATTATTTGCTTGCCTATCTAACCTCGTATTACTGGAGACAACCACCGTCTTGTCCTTGCAAATTCGGAATACAAATTCAGTTTCTTATTTATTTATTATTATTTTTATTTTTATTTTTGCCAATTGCTAAAAAAATACAAAATCACTTGCTTGCATGTGAATTGATCACTCAGTTGGAAAATTATTATTATTTTTTTCTATGACTGATATGGCAGGCAAAGGGCCTTCAATTTTATTAGTTTTAGCTACCGTAACCAGCATCAGACAAATTTTCACGTTGCCTGCAGGCCTACATTCTGTAATTGTGAATTAGTGATTCAGGAACACTTGGTTGCTTTGGTCTCTGTACAGCATTAAGATGAGTATGTGTAGATTATGTTCCACAGTGATGTTTGAGTAGGCAAGTGATTCAACCATTGGTTCTCATGGTTCTAGTAGGTACAATTACTTGCAGTTCCTCTGCTTTGAATTAATCACTCTCAGCTCTAGTGAATCCAGGCTTCTCATACAGTTGGTGGAAACGAATATTAAGATAACCCTTGTTACATCTGCTTGCTCAACTTTATTGGCTTTGCATCTGATTATTTGTGCAAATATATCATATCTCAATGCTTTACCCTTTTCTCAGTTTTCAACTACTGGATATGAAAGTGTGATCATTTACATACTCAACTCAGAGAGGCCTTAAATCTAATTACTTGGAGTTGGCTATATGAACACGTCTCACAGATCCGAGTTCTTTTATTTTATTTTATTTTTCATTTTGTAGGAGTTTTAACATTGTTGACTGATTTGTTTCTCCCTGGAAGCCCCGTTTTGTATTCTTGTAAATTTAATGCCCTTTTTTTTCGGATTCCATATTGGAATTAAGCATTTGTGGCTAATTAGGATTGCGTTTCCCTTTCTTCAGGTATGAAGTCCCATACAGCGAGCATTGTAGTTTTACTGAACTCAAAGAGTTTGTCAAATTTATATATCCTGAAAACATTATACCGAGCGTAAATAATGATGGTCCAGAATCTGCCAACGCGATGATTTCCTTACTGTTATCTTGATGTGTTGACTTGCTTACGTATGGAGGATATATGTCTGAGCATGATTGGTCCAAAAATGTCATGTTGGACTTATTTCGTGTTTCCCTTTTGCATCTAATTGGGAAACTTTTATTCTTTGTTTTACTATAGTATGTTGTAATTTCACTGGTTGGTGGATGCAGATGAGACAACTCGTCTCGGCTGACTTCCTGTTTGGTTTGGCTAATAAATGTTATGGATCTTCTTTCTTCTTTTTTTTACTTAAAAAAATGGAAATGGATAAACAATGCAAACAATAGATTACAAGATTATATTAGATTAATGAAATGGCATTTGGTGGAAGTATTGTTTTTCTACAAAAGTGAAAAAAGTTTGTTTTCATGTGTCATTCCTTTGATTAATAATTCAGAAAATGCACCAGCAAAGAGATCTTGTTTTAAACCAATCCCACCATAGCTTGAGTTGGGTTTGAAAAATTCTTTGGTTTGGACTATAATTTTAATTTGGAATTTGGGTTAAAATTTACCAAAATTAAATTCAGTTAGGGTCTGAGCATGAAGTTTTGCAATTTGGGCAACCTGATAAACTAGAATTGTACTTTGTATGTATAATTATTTTTTGCATTGATGGATTAAATCAAATTGCAATGTAATTAATTTGATTGCTTGGTACACAATTCAAATCAATTTTTTTATTTTAAATTTTTTGAGATTTTTTATTCTATTTTAAATTTTTGTGTAGCTTTGTTTTCAAAACGTGAAATTGATTAGTCTAGATAACTTAATCTAAACCCAAGACACATATATATCTATCTATACTATAATATATGTGAGCACTTAGATTGGTTTCTTGAAGCTTTGTCTCTCTTCATGTCAAGTGTTCAATGATCTATCAAAAAAAAAAAGCTAGAGAAGTCAACGGGTCAAGGCTTGAACTCAAGGTTACAAATTTGATAAGGAAGATTCTTATCACTTAACACTACAACTAATATATGTTATATATTTAACTTGCACACGCATCGCGTGTGTCAGCCATTAGTATATATATATTTGTGCTGAGTTTGAGGAATATTAGCCTCACCATGGCTGCAGCATCATCTGACCAGGGAAATGTTCTCAACTCGGGTCAAGTAAGCGAAGATGGAGGTGGATTTTAAAAAACGATTCATAAGATTTAGACTCCAAGAGATGTTTTGTTGTCTAATCTATCTCCATATTTGTACAATCTCGCTTGTACCTCTAGATCTCCGCTAGTAGTACCAAACACACAAACACAAATCTTCACCAAGCTTGTGCCAAACACGAACACATTCTTCCAAAGCTCTACAAAGCATGAACTAAGTTAATATAAATTTGAACTAAAAAATTAATTATTGTATTTCACTTTGAGCTCCCAATTAGCTATTTATATTTTTTATTTTAGTGTGGTGGTATTACCCAATTATGTGTTTGGATCCCAGAATCTATATGATTATACGGAAATAGGAAATCTTGTAGAAAAATTTATTATAATTTATCTAAATCTCAAAGAAGGTTATCCTATTGTTAATATGGAGATCGATATTTCCATCGATAACTAAATCGCCTGATGGTTGTGGTTTTGGTTTTGTTTTTGCTTATGAAATGTCAACGCTACAATCCATACCTACCATTTGGTTTCTTTTTAAGGATAATGTTAATTATTATTTCAGTAATGATTCAGATCTCCACAAAATATCACCCCCACAAGGGCCATTTCCCTAAATAAGCCAAAATAGTAAGTCAATTCCCAAACTAAGCCTAGTTTTGAAAGAATTCCCAAAATAGGCTAAATCGCGGTTGTGAACCACGATTTCAACACATATACGCCTCTCTCGCGTGGAAGTGGGGAAATCTTAAAATCGTGGTTACAAAACACGCTTTTAATTAAGAAATCGCGGTTATAAAACGCGCTTTTAATTAATTTTTCTTCCTTTTTAACTCGCTGTTACAAACCACGATTTTATCCAAAAAAAATTTGTTCTGAATTCGTTGTTTAAAACCACGCTTTTATGAAAAAATTTTTGTTATGAACTCGCTGTTTATAACCACGATTTTATCAAAAAAAATTTGTTCTGAAATCGCTTTTCTAAACCACGTTTTTTGGCAAATTCCTTTTTCATTAAGTGAAATCGTGGTTCACAACCACGATTTTAAAACCCATATATCATCTCCCAGCCCCGTGTTTTGCATTCACGCTTGTTACATTTCCTCTCTTCCTCTTCTTCGCTCCCTGCTGTCTCTCTCTCGGTCTTACTACTCTCTCTCTCTCTCTCGCTCTGACTCCTCTCTCTCTGTCTCTGTGCTCCCTGCTCTCTCTCTATCGAGCTCCCTCTGATTCAGTATTGTCTCTCTATCGTTGGTATGGCTTCTATCATGTACTTTAATGCGAATAAATTAGGATTAGGGTTAGGGTTTATATTTGTGAATATATTTGTGTTTACATTTGTGTTTGTGAAAATGTGAATAAATTAGGGTTAGGGTTCATGAATGTGGGGTTAGGGTTAGGGTTTATATTTGTGAATAAAATGTTGTGAAATCAGAAATAATAAATTAGGGTTAGGGTTTATATTTGTGAAATTTTAATTATAGATAATTTGTTGGATTTTAATTATAGATAATCTGTTGAATGTGAAATCTTAAATCTTAAATTAGGGTTAGGGTTTATAATAATAATAATGTTCTTGTATATTATTATCGTAACTAACTTTATAATTTATTGGAAAAAAACATGGCAAAACACAAGAAAATCTAATTTTGTCTACATAAAAATTATCTATAATTAAAATTTCAAAATTTTCTATCCCTTTCTTTCAAAATTTCCAAATTATTTTTTTTTTTTCTTTCACTTTCACTTTCACTTTCACTTTCTACAAATTTTTCTTTTTAATCAAAACATATTTAAGGAATAATCATGTCATTCCCTTTTATTTTCATTCCAATAAATTACCTTAGTCCTATGCAGCTAAAGTGTAACTAAATATTTACAATAATTTTAATGCTGTTAATTAATTACATAAGAAAGAGAAACGTTAATTTGGCTGTAAAAATTATTATTAATTAGGTGATGTGGAGTAGTAATAACTTAAAATTAATAAAGTAACAAAAAAAATTTTGTTCTAAATTTCAATTTTTTAAGTAAGAATAAGAAATTGGAAAGTAAGGAACAAAATTTGTAATAATAAATTGTTATGGAAGTTTTCTCATAATTTTGGCCAGGAACAAATATATATATATATATATTTTGGAGATAGGGATATGGCAAAATAGAAAAGTCAGATAATTGAATTTTATGTTGATGTAGGCCTTCTTTCGTTTTCTTATTACATTTTTTTAAAGAGTGATTATGATTGTTAATATTTTCTATGGGTGACCCTTTAAGTAGTACCCTAAATTTTTATTAACAAATTAAAAATCTAACTACTTAGAATGTTGACCCAAAAAACAAAAAAAAAAGAAAGAAAACTTTAAAATATGCCATTGATGCGACATGCCCCTACGATAAGAAAAATTGGTTTGACTAAATTTATGCACTAAATTCAAATCTAATCGTGGTTAAATATAAAAAGTATAGTTTACTTGAATTTCATGGCCCATTTAGGGTTGAATTTCATTTTCGAGTTTTTCCTCCTTAAATTTCATGACATTCCCTTTTATAAATTTGATATAAATAAATGACTTTTTAGAAGTGATCCACAACAAAATTGATATAAACATTAGGGGTCAAATAAATTGATACACAAAAAATTAGAAGTCAAAAAATTAGTTTTTACCTCTTTGCCGAACGAGAACTTTCAAGTCATCATGGAAAATGCTATTATGAAAACATTTGATATAAAAAAAAAAAAATTGTTTAAGAATTATGTTTGAAAAAACTAAAATATTTGATTTATAAAATGAGTCATTCTCGATAATTTTTACCCACTTGAATTATCCAATTGAGTTATTCTCTATGCGCCTGCATTATGTTTATTCAATTAAGTTTTAACTTTTTATGATAGTCAGATGTCTGAATCAGTTTACGTATTTATCGACTAATCTTACAATCCACACCAAGCGTGCCTTCCACGTAGATCCGACAAATCTCAATTAATACCTATAAACATGACACATACTGAGAATTCTACTTGAGATCTGAAAGGAGCATACCTAATTTTTAACACATAATGAGAGCTCATTAATATTAATGAAACTCAAGTTTAACTCGATTCAGGTCAATAATTTTTTTGTTATGTTTTTTATATTGCTTAAAATTATGAGAGCTTATTAATTTTTTATTTATGTTATTTCTTACGTTATTTCCCTAAGTTATTTCCTACGTTATTTCATATGAGGTTATTTCCCTAAGTTAGGGAATAATGTCATAGGAAATAACCTACCAAATAACTTTGTCATTAAGGTCCCTGTTGGCAGAAGCTTGAGCAAATAAAAGTAACTTGTCTTTAAGTATCCATAAATCTCACTAATTGGACCACCACTTTTAAAAAATGATGTGAACAATGTTTGAAATAAAAATTAAGAACAAGTCAAAATGAGTCGAGTTATTTGAACTCAATGAAAAAAATAATAATTTCATAGAAAAAGTTACACTCTAATTTAAGATTTTTGTATGACTTGTCCAATTTTGTCCAATCGCGCTGAATAAATACAATACTTGATACAAATTATAGTATAAAATTATATGAACAGAAAAATAAAAGAAGAATCTTCGTAATGTCTTCGTATTCAAAATTATTGATATATCTGTCTAGTTTACAAATCACGCTTTTAAGGAAATTTTATTTATACATAAATTTTGAAGTAATTATTTTTTTAAAGTAAATCTGATTAAGGAAATTTGATTTATACATAACCATGCTTTTGTTAAGTAATTCTTTCTATCTTCCGAAAACGTGGTTGCAAACCACGGTTTTACTGTTGACCCGTGGATAATAATCACTTCTAAGCAAAATGTAAAAATTCAACAAAGAATTCAAAATCAGCACTCATTCTTGTTTGTCACAGACACTCACAAACACTCTCTCTATCCCTCTCTCTGACACACACGCCAACAACATTCACACTCCATCAAACATATATAATTTAATATATATAAATTTTATTTTGTAAAATTCAGACCAATATTAAATATATATAATAATAATTGATAATAGCAAATAATAATCAACTATATAAATGATTATTTTTTTACTTTAATTCTTAAAATGTAATTTTTTTTATTTAGGTAAATTACA